GTGGGTTAGCTTGACCCCTGAACACGAATATCACAATCGTGTCCTAGATCCTCAAATTCCCTGAAAACTTGTCCCTACCGGTGAACCGACCCCCTCAACAAAAATATCATGTCCACTTAACGCGTTGACGACGATTTCCGTCAATGGTGGACGACAGAAAGTTTGTCTTGTGGAACGGCGTCGCCCAATGCTGTCCCACAGTTATTATATAACTCAAATCTGCGCGATTGTTTCACTTTCTTTTCATAAAATTAGTTCAAGAACAAACATTTTCGGGTCGAGGGATGCGATATTGTTCTTTAGGAGATCAAACCACCCCGGGAGACAAATTTTCAGTCAATTCTGTCTAGAGGAAGAATTTGGTAAAAAATGGCCTGATTTTGGAAGATTGGAGCAATAAGAGCTAAATTGTGTCAAAGATTCGAGATTGCTATACTCGTCTCTTGCATTTCTCGATACATTTTGGTCGTAGTAATTCATTTATTTGGAAATTACTAAGTTTCAGTGTAGAAAAATGTGCCGTCCCAGGCGCAAGTCATGGGAAAAATGGCTCGTCGTCAACGTGTTAAGGCGGACCATTTGGTCGACGATTATGACCGGAGTCTCACACCTTGCTAGCGGCGATGACGTAACGATGACGTAGCGCGCCGCCGGGCAGCCGTATCGCGAATTTGCTGCACCGAAGGTCCTTCCATGCAGCTATAAGCTCGGATGCATGTGGAATACGTAAACAACCATCGTGGACCTTTGTCGACCCCTAGCGGCTACTCACCGACGAAGGTGTCATTCTCCTCCAGCGATAGAACAGATTCATTCAACTTTCTCCACTTTCAAATGCACCTGGAGGGATGACTGAATTTTTCTTTTTCCAACGGTGTTATCCTTGTTGTTAGTTTTATGTTTACTCATCAATGAATGGGAAGGTTTGAATAACAGGCAAAGCACGATTAATAGAAAGACTCGTGTACACACTCCAATACACACCCAGTAAGGTCGAAAAAATTTTTTGAGCGATTCTTCGTCTATAGGGGTTATCGATGGTCCTGATCACGATTCTGACACTTATTTCTGGCGCTGACGCGATTTGACGGCAGAGTAGTGCTAAACGTCCCTTTTATGGGTGTACATAATGAATACAGTGGGAGATTGATGTTGATCCAAATCGGAGACAAATGGCACCACAGCTAAAATTAAGTACCATGTTAATGATCATATCGCTTACTTACACATAGAAACCAATTTTCAGTAGTAGCCTTTTTAATTGTAAGAGAAAATTGTAATAGAAGTATACCACCGATCACGGGGGTTCTACCGTTAAGAATTTGCCCATGAATGGCAAATATCCATGCTATACTCATGCACAGACATTTGGATGGAAGCCGAGATAGCGAAACAAAATGATTCAAAACCGCACGCCTACGGGGAGGTCGAACCATCAGCACCACACGCTCTCACATTGACCGATTGATAATCCTCCACGCTATCCACTAGGCCATTCGATCGTTGTAGCTAAACACCGCTCCGATCGTTGAAGAAACCATTCCGACAAGCCGCTCTAAGGCCGTTAACTCGCATCACGTGCGCAAGTTAAGGACCCCATTTGCGGAAACGTATTTTCCTCCTCATTTTTTCCTATTTATAGTGCCTTTATAAGGACCCTCTACTCAGCAACTGGTCAAAGTTGCAAGTGATTTGGAGCCCAGAGAGGCTCAAAACCAATCGGTTTCTATTCAGTTCTTTTTCACTCCTTTTTTGGTATCCAAAGAGCCATTTAGGAAAATATTGAACGTTAACCCCAGTTGGTGTAGTCAGCTGATGGTGGCCTAACACAAAAAACCGTTTGTCAAAAAGCGCGCCACGTTCCTGTACGACCCGCCTGGTTAGTGGATTCTCTTCAATCCACAATGATAATTGCGGAAGACGTGCTGGTTTTGGCCATAACGCCCATTCTATATGTAGATCGTAGAAATAGATAGGAAGTACAGTCGGCCATGAGCTCAATATCAATATGAGTTGCACAGTAGATGAAACAAATTCCTTTGTCATTAGCGCATCACAGACGCCGAACGATGAGTGGGGACTGGGATTTAACTTGTCATTAGCGATGCAATCCATATCTGCTAAGGTTTATCTGCAGTATCGCAAGGTTTGGACTGCGTTTGTTGGAAATCCTACAGACTACTCCATTATTCGTTCTCATAAGTGATTAAAAGTTGAAAAGCAAAAAAATAGTAAAATAGTCGCTGACGCTATGAAACGCATAAAGTGGGTTATGGATAAGAATGGTAACGTATCGCACCTTCTTCACTGATCTTCTGACCTGGATTCGAGCATAATTAGGGCGAGGTGCGAAGAAACTCATTAAGCCGATTAGCGAGGTGCGAAGCGACCTCATTAGCCGAGGCACGTCGTGCTCAACTGCAGCTGACCTCACTTCAAGGAAAAGCTATTAAGCTATCCAAATCGGAATAAATCCATTGCAAGATTTCGGTAAAGTGGGTAAAAAGATTGCCATATATTTCATATAGTTCTATTATATTATTATTATGATCTATTCTTAGACAACGCCGCAAGTGTACAAGTTATTATCAAATTAAATCGTTTTCGTTTCAAAACAAATTAATTATCCAATTATGTTCTCCTTTCAACGCGTTGCCCAGCGACGGTCCTTCTCGCCTGTAACTTCCCGTCTGGTCGAGAGCCGGTGAGTAGGACTGGGAGCAGAGAACTGAGCTGTGGTGTGGAGGGGGTAGTGTGCGGCAGAGCGTGATCCATGTAAAACGAAGGTGTTGCTGAAGAGGAAGTTGCCCGGGAGGTGGAAAAACTGTATGGAGAGAGGGCCTACGTAGTAAGAAGTTTCTGGTACAGGGATAACGTGTATGTTGGTCCGAGCGACGTAGTAGACAAGGTGCCGGCGCGGGGGGCGGGGCGGAAACTGTCATTCTAACATCGTCCTTTCTGGGAGCTTCTTTCACTTGTACCTGTGTATCACACCGCTCTCCTCCACTTCAACGGGCCATGCGTTTACGACCCCCCCCCTTCATCGCGGGCAAATACGGCCCCCCGTTGTGATGATCACAAAGATGGCGTGAATTAAGCACAATCATTTTGTATTTTGTTGAGTTTTACTCTATGTATGTGCTACTAGCAGTTTTTATAATAAGTTTCGGTAGCCTGTACGTTTTTTTTAATTTCCCCGGTATTCAGTTTTTCACTTCGAATTCCTCATCCAGATTCGATTATACTCACATGATTCTCTCACTGTATGACTCACTTTCGCACTCGAGCACGTGGGGATTCCCCATGCCTTAAGTGTGGGCGAGCTTCGCATCCTCTTTAATTGATGTTCTTTGCACTGTAGGGGCGCATGGCCTAATGCTTGAGGCTATATAAATTATACGAGTTACGTACCATTTGTTATTGTAACCCCATAAATGTGTAATCTAATATCAGGTTTTTTATCTTTTCTAAACTTCTGGTTTTCATTTGCGAACTACATACCTCCCCCCTCTCTTCGCTTCAAAACATGATACATACAGCAGTTCGGATCGACTTCGGCTGCCGCGCTGGGTGCTCCTCTCCTTTCTGTTTCACGCCCTGGCTTGGGCGGGCCGACTTGGCATCGGCAGGTAGCTCTCCCGTTGTCACGGGGTAGGGATGCGCTAAATTTGCATATGTGTAAGTTGGATCTGCAGTTTTGTCGACTACAGAATGGGTTTCAATATGAAATTATCCGGATGAGCTCTTAACAACCGGAAGAGGTATGACTGCAGAGTAATGGGTGGCACTGAAAAGGAGAACTCCGTATTGCTTGTAAATATAAAAGTTTGTGTCGCATTGACACTGGATGATCCGATACCACCGATTGGGACTGCTCCGATCTCTCAAATGTTGGGTTCGCCTCCTTATTTTTTTTCATATACGACTTCTTATCCTTTCTCCTAACATCAATTCAGACTCAACACATACCTAGCGCAGGTATCCCCCTCTTTGCGCAAAATTTTTTTGATTTGGGAGTTCTCAACTTTCCGTTTTAGTCCGCAATATGTACCTTTGACTGTCACTTCCTCCCCCTCCCCTCCGCCCTCGACACCATTGCATGCATCTAAAAGCAAACACTTCATTGGACACCTTGATTCTGTTGCCATCAAAGGAAAGGGTTCACAACTGAGCCTCTAATACTCGGCATTAAAGCGGTAAGAAGTGATAAAAATGTAGCGCAGATGGTATCTTATCTGTTTTTATCGATTGATAAGATTACCTGTCACCCGTCATCAATGTCCTCATCACCAAATCTCTATGATTTGGTAGCGTGAACCACCTTGAACAGCGACGACGACTGCAACTTCACTTATCAGTCTATCAGTAGTTATCGCTTCCAATCACCCACGGCTGATGTCCTCATCTCACCCTGTCACTTGCTGAAACGCATGCACTCGCTGATGCTGTGACCTGCGCTGTGAATACGATGACCTCACCATTCTAACGCCCCTTATCGAATCTTATCAGCAGCTTACAGTTCTTGTCACCCACCAATAATGTTCTTGGCCCATACCCTATATCATATCTTGGAATCAAGAGCTAGCTGATGCTGTCACCCGCGTTATGAATATGGTGACCTCCGTCTTCTAACGCCTCTTATCGGATCTTATCAACTGATATCACTTCCTGTATCAATTCGATATGAGTATAGTCGCAATACTAGCGCACCACCGAAATCAACCACACAAAGCGCACGAATTCTTTACCTCAAACTTGGGTAATTAAACAAGCATTGTATAAACAGTATACCCTTAATCAGCCAGAGACAGTACTTAATGTAAAGCACCAATCGCAAGATATGAGATGAGAAAATGAAAAGGCAAAATGATGTCAAGGCATGGAATGAGCAAGATCAGCAGTGCGCGTTCCTTTATTCAGGCCCCGCCATCTGGACAGCTTTTTGTCCCCCCTAGAGGAATTCACACGTGACCCGGGCGCGCTTGATTTTCTACAAAGGAATGCGCACAAGACCACAAGGATACTGTGTATGTAACTTCAAAGTAAAATCGCGTGAAGTCGCGATACTCATGAACCGGTCGTTCGAAAAAGGAATCCGCGCCGCAAATATAGAACGTCCCTGCAAGCAAATCGTGATCGATACTCGAGAAGTTCTCCATAAGATCTCTGAGCAGCGAGACAGCTCGCGGGCGGAGAGCCCCGAAGGCCTCGAGCATAGGGAGCTGCGCATTATAAAAGAGAACTCTGAGTTCGCTGAGGGGATCAAGGAAGAGGAAGATGCGCAAATGGACCCCGAAGAAGAAGAAGAAGTCCCTCCACCAGAACTAGCGGAGGATGAGGAGTCCGGCGAGGAAATACGGTTGATTAGGCAGGGAAGCCCACCAGCTCAGGAGGAAAGGCAAGAAGACGTAGCCGACAATAACGTGCAACTTGGCGCCGAAGAGCCGAAAGAAGAAGAGCCCGAGGCTGTGGAGCCCCCCGAGGTCCGATTGCGCAGAATCGAGAATGAAATCAGAAGCGCGCAGCAGGCCCTCTTCAACTTTGGATGACATACTAAGACAGCTCGCGCATGAAAAGGTGTGCCCTCCAAGAAGAGAGGATCGTGGAAGAATAAATCGTCATCAAGAGCGATACATGCGCTGTGCGTTCTGCAGAGCCGTAGGCCAGCACTACTCCGACTCATGCGCAGTGGTCACAGCCGTGATCGACCGCAGGGAGATGATTCTAGCGCAGGACAAATGTCGGTACTGCTTGGAAGAACGTTGCACCCAGGACGAGCACTGCCCTAAATATTTGACGCTATGTTT